GACAGCCCAAAGCCAGGGGTCCATGGGAGTGTCAACTGACCCAAGGCCTCCTGGCTACATGGCCATCATTCCCTGGAGACCCTGGCCCTGGGGTAAGCAAGCTTCCCTGGGGGCAGATGCCCCAAAACCCTGCGTTGTGGTGGGGGCGGGGGCACAAACACAAAAGAGATGGACCAAAGAGCAATGGTGCTGTATTTAAAGTGTTTATATTTAAGATGTTACATGGTATATGTTATTATGCCTATGATCCCGGTACTCTTAAGGTTGGGGTAGGGGTGTAGCCTGGGGTACAGAGTGAGTTCCAGAGAGAGACCCTGGCTCAAAAGTCCCAAACCAAACCCACCAAAGGAAAAAGATGTTCACATCAAAATAAACATGTCTTGTACAAATCCAAAGGAAATAAGCAAATTTTATCTTTATCCACAGCTGATAGATAATCTTGCAAAAAGGATGCCAACAAAATCCAGCCTCCCATGATATCCGGGAAAACGCCGTGTATGGAAGCTGGTAGCACTGGGTTTGCTGGCAGGGAGCTGGTTGGTTGGTTCGCTGACTGGATGGAGGTTTTTTGGCTCTGTGAGCAACTAACAAGATTTTTTTCCCTTAAAGGAGGGTAGGGGTGATACTATGAGTTTTAGAAGGCATATGTACACATACATGCATATATAGTAATTAGTGGAGTTAATTATTATTATGCAATCAGTTTGTTGGAAAGAATATCTGGAAAGTGTGTCTTGCTTCTCTCCTTCAGATTTTCTTCCCCTTCTTTGGACAGCCTAAATGTTAGCTTTACTGTGCAGAACAGCCTGCTGCACTTAGCCCAGGTGAAAAGTGAGTACTTGCCAGCGACTTTTCTGTCTATATTAAGACTATGCTGGCTCCAGAGCACAGCCAAATATGTTCGAGTGCAGAATGAAGTGTCTCTACGTGCCAACGATAAACTTCTTCCGAAAACACAAGAATTGCAAAAAAGCAGGCCAGGTAGGACGACTTGCAAATCGGCGAAAATATTACAGTATGGCTTCTTGAGGCAATAGCACATACTTCATTATTTCGGTGGGTGTTTTTTTTTTTTTTAATTCATGGGGTAACACAGATTTTTGGTTGTAGAGAGATGATAGGCAGCCATGACAATCAGTGCATACATAGAGGCAGTTCACATAACTGAAGTAAATGTCAGATATGACGAATAAATAAATGATTATCTGTTTGGAACAGACGGAGTTGTAATTTTACTCCAACTTAAGTATTCCTCATGCCGTACTCCTGCGACCTCATTCTTAAGACGAGAATCTCTCTTTGTGTGAATGAAATTCAGTTTGAGAAAATGAAGCATGTCTCTGAGTGGATGACTTACACATGATTGTGCAAGGAGTCTAAATTCCATCTGTGTAGCAGGCTCTAACCAATCACTCACTGGCCAGTTTCCCCTCAACTAATCTCTCCCCCTTTCTCACTTTCCTCTCCCTCTCTGTCTCTTTTGTGAGTGTGTGAGTGTGTGTGTGTGAGTGTGTGTGCGTGTGATATGAGTATTTGTGTGTATGTATCTGTGGGTGTGCTCTCGTAGGTACATGTATGTATGTGTTTGTAGGGCGTTAGGGCAACTTCAGGCCTAGAGTTCAGCAAGGTAGGCTGGGCTGGTTGGTCAGTGATCTGCTTGACTCTTCCTCCCCAGGGCTGGGATTGCAAGCACGTATCACCATACCCAGTATTCTTTTTCACTCCCCAGACTTTGGGGATTTAACTTAGGCCATTGTGCTTTTGAGTCAAGCACCTTACCCACTGAGACATCTCCCCAGCCCCGAGAATTCATTTCCTGTCATTGAAAAGCAGATTCTGAGCTGTGGCCCAAACATACCAACACTAAATCCATTTCCTAGCAGCTACATCAGAGACTTAACTGAGTCCCTGCATCTGTTCCATTGCAACACGGTGACATTTGCACAGCAGGTGTGGTGGGGGTGGTGAGGGGAGGCAGGGGTGTGCCCCTGGAAGGCAGAGGGGATGCAGAGGTTCTGGCTCAATTGGGTTTTCCTGACCAGGCTTTCCTGTGCAGCTGTGGTTAGTATGCGGACATACACCACTCAAAACTGGGCCCGTGGCTCTCACAAGGAACCCGTCAACCTGGCCAATCAGCTCCAAGTCTACATGTTGCCAGGGAAACTGATACATAGTCACAAAAACAGAATGATCACAGTGGGGAAAATATAAACTGCGGCCTTTTGATAGTCAGAGGGAGAAAGAGATAGCACAGGGTGACCGCCTGTAGCAGAGAACGACACGGAATTCAGGCAGTGTGCGATGTGGTATGCTTGTATGGTGACGCACAAGAGAAGGAGTGTGTGTAAAACTAAAATTCTTCACGTAGATGTGCAAAGGTGTCAAACCACGTAAGAATGAAAGTAATGAAAAAAAGTATGCCTCAGCCCCGAGTGAACTCAGGACTGGAGGAGATTGCTAACGAGATCCTTTGGGGCGGGAAGGCGGGAGGGCTCAGGGATTAGGAGTGTAACATGCTTTCGAAGTGGCCCTGACTCTGTAGAATGCCACATGCCCCACAGCCAGTCCATGGTCCCCACCTCTCCAAGCACATTGATGCTGCTGCTGCCAGGTGTCAAACCGCCCCTTGCTTCAGACAGTGCTCACCACATGCAGCATCACCGGCTCACCCCCCTTGTCCTGGGTCATAGTGCCCCAGTGGTATTGACAAATGTGAGCCACAACAGACCGTTTTCCTGCTGAGAGTTCCCACCCAGACATCCCACTGCAGGGAGAGCTGTGACAGCTGTCCTGCCGTGGCTGAGCAGGTACTGGCCCATTTGACCCTCCTGAATCCCTTGTACTCCAGTCCACCATCATGGATTCTCTATTTCCCTCCTTGAGCATGCCAAGATTATTATTTACATGTGTGTTTGTTCCCTCGGACTGTGGCAGCAAAGATACACTTGCTAGTCTGGCTGAAGTGACAGAGCTCTATTCCCTGCCCGGCCTTGAAGCCAGGTCCAAAGTTGAGGGATCTCTGTGTGGTCGTCCTTCCAAGGGTCTCAGGGTGTCTGGTCCATGTCCTTCTCTGAGCCTCTGGTGCTGAGGGAGTCCCTAGTGTTCCTTGGCATAGGGACTTGTCACTCTGGTCTGTGCTTCAGTTGTCACGTGGGTATCCTCATGTCTCTCTGTGTCCTTTACCCTGTTATCAGGACACCCATCACTGGATCAAAGAGCATTATAATGGGGTAGGGCCTTTTGTAGCGTGACCCACAAAGCCTCATTTCCAAATGCCACGTTCACGCTCATGCTCATGCTCACACTCACGCTCACAGGCTGTGGCAGACAGGATGCTCGTGCATCTCTGTAGAGGTTGTAATTTAACCACAGCTTTCTGTGGTCTAGATTTCTGGGCATGGGTAAGCGGAGGGAGTCCTTGGTGAGATGTCTTGGGCTACACTCTGTCCCTTTCCGTTGTAGAGTCCTTAACTCCATCTTTTCCCAGCAGCATGCGGGTCAAGCTGAAGATTAAAATGTAATGTTGGGATGGGGAGATGCTCAGTAGGTAAATGCTTGTTGCTCAAGTGTAAGGACCCAACCAAGTTTGATGCCTAGAACCAATATAAAAAGTCAGCCAGACACAAGCCAGTGTTCCTGTGGTGACACTGGGGGTGGAGAGCCAGTAGAGAACCTTTGGAAGCACACGAGTAAGATAGACTTACTTCAAACAAGGTGAAAATGTGAGAACTGACCCCTGAGCTTGTCCTCTGACCACTACACATGTACCAGAGCACACGTATGTCTGTGTTCACATGCATCTCCTATACACAAATAACTGAAATGTAGCATAGTTGAGCTTCTTATTTCAGTATAAGAATCATTTTAGAGGTTGGTGGTTAACAGCAGGGGCTTCACGTGCAGGGGACCCAGATTTAATTTCTAGCACCCACATATCTGCTTATAAGCACCTGTAACTCCAGTTCCAGGGTATCTGATGCCCTCTTCTGGCCTCCATAAGCACCTGCACACACATGGAGTGCATACAGACAAGCAAGTATACACACACACAAGTAAAAATAAAAGTTGAAAAATGGAATTAGCATGCATAGATTTATTTTTTCTGCTTGCCTTCCACTTTGAAAAAAGACCTCAGGGCATGCCCTTGTCCCTCACCAGTTAAAGATGGCACCATTTCAGAAAGACTGCCCCTATACCTCATCTGAGGGCTGGCTGCTGCGCTGTGTGGGATGGAGACGGTACGCAGGCCATGTAAGTGAAAGCGAACACCAGGGAGGCTCATCAGAGCTCAGGGATCTGAGGGGATGGGACCATTCCTTCCCGGTTCCTGTGTGCTTGCCTCTGCTCTTCATGGTGCTCCACGCACCGGCCTCGCTCTGCTACAAGAGCTGAGGTTTCTTCTCTGTGTGCTTGCTCTCCGAGGGATCTGTAATGTGTGGTAAGTCAATGCAGCTGGCTCTGGAGATGTACTTTGTTGCCTGAGGCCACCCGAGCAGATGCGTCAGGGCCCACTGTTACAGCTCCCAGGATCCATGTGAAGCTGCACAAGCTTCAGGAAGTTTCTCAGCCATGCTGTGAGCTTGCCCTAGGCTTACCTCAATGCTGGATAGATAATCCACATATGAATGGCAGTCAGATATGGGTAGCCGTGCTAATAATCATCCTAATGCCACTGTGTGCTTAGGAGCTCGGTGCTTGTCCCTTACCAGATACTGTACTTGGCAGTCACGTGACTTTCATTGTCCCTCTTTGTGGTGCTCTGAGATAGGCACTATGTATCTGAAGCTGGAGCAAGAAACAGCTCCTAGGTGTGGTAGAATCAAACAAGTTGCCTAACAGGTCTCTGCCAGGGAGGAACCCCCACAGTCTAATTCTGAGGCTGCAACTTTAATCAGTGAAGCCCATGGATTTATAACGTACCAGAAGGTTCTATGGACCTCTATTACTCAACACCTCATATCAAGCGTTGCCAGGTGGTGGAGGCAGATTTTTAAAGTGACCCTTGGTGACCCTCATCCATATTTAATTCCTTCCCCCTTGGTTGTGGGAGGATCTGCGACCATCATGTGATATGACCCTGTGAGCTTGCCACCATGGTTATTTTAAGTTGTTAGTTGACCTGTAGCTGGGAAGATTATTGGGGGTGGGTGGGCCAGACATGATCATGTGGCCCCTTAAGAGAAATAGGGTCATTTCTGGAGACTCCCAAAGAATACTGGGGTTAATCCTCTGCTGCTGTAGAGCTGGCAGGGCCACATGGCAAGAGATGTGGACAGTGTCGTGTGAGCCGTGAGCAGTCTAGGATGAGCCCAGAAAGAAAAAGGGGCCTTCAGTCCTTCAACCTCAAGGGGGTGACTTCCTGCAACAGTCTGAGGGAACTTGGAGATGGATCTATCCCTGGCCCTCAGGTGTAAACACTGCCCATGTAAACCTTGCTTTCAGTTCAGCGATATCCAGAGGAGAGGACCCCAGGAGAGAGGCCATACCTGGACCCCTGACCTGTTAGCTTACAACCAGCAAATGGGCACTGTGCAAGGATGCTGAGTTACTGGCCATCTAAAAGACAGAAATAGAAAACTGACAGGTATTCCCTGACGCGCCCACTCTATCCTACCCACTCACACAAGTGCCACGAAAGGGTTTCTGTAGTTCCAAAAAGCCATCTCCTGGGCCTGAAAGATGGCTTAGTCGGTAAAACATTTGCCTTAAAAGTATGGGGACCTGAGTTTAACTTCTAGAACAAAACCACATAAAAAAAATGCAAGACACAGTGGTGTGCACTTGTGATCCCGCTAGGGAGGAGAAGGTAGGTGGATCCTTCACCGGCCAGATAGTCTAGCTGAGTCTGGAGTCAATGAGAAACTCTGTCTGAAGAAGAAGATGGGTATCTGAACAATGACACCCGACCCCATCTTCTTGGAGAAAGTTCACCATGGGGTGTGTCCTTGAGACTGGGCCTCTCCCCACACTGCCCACACTACCACATGTTCCCAGAGGGGGCCTTCTGCTTCCCCTCACACAAGCTCATCAGCCATGGAGTCAAGAGATCACAGACAGAACTCTCTGAAACCATGAGCCAAAACAAATTCTTCCTTCAAGCTACAGTTTGTCTCCGGTATTTGTCTCAGAAGTGAGAATTCTGATCAGCACGGTGGCCTTTTGCACACATCTCTCCACATCTGACTCTAGAAGCTACTTGCTTCCCACCCCTTACCTGCCCTCTTCCTGCCCTGTTCCCACCCCCTCCTTCCAGGCCTCATCCTACTCCCTTCTGAACCAAGGATGTTAACGGCCAACTTCCCCTGGGCGATGCTGGCTGCCATGTGCTCCGCTGGGGTCTTTTGAGGGATCCCCTGGGAACTGTGACGGGGAAAGGAGATGCCCAGCATCCGGTTGCAGTTTGCTCTTTAGTAAACACCTTGGGTTTGGTCCCCTCTCTTAAGCTTCTCAGAATTGCTTTTGTTTGCTCCTGGGCTTCATGCAGCAGTCCTCAACCTGTGGGGGTGACAGCTTTGTGGGTCGATCAGCCTTTGCACAGAGGTCCCTTAAGACCATCGATGAACACAGGTGATATTTATATTATGACACAGCAGCAGCAAAATTGCAGTTATGGAGTAGCAGCAAAAATAATGTTTTGGGTGGTGGTCACCATAACATGAGGAATTTTGTTAAAGGGTGGAAACATTAGGAAGGTTGAGAACCTTTGGTTGAGTGGATGGAAGTGACAGGTAGGCATCTTGGGAGATTTTCCTGTCAGGGCATCCCACTCAGAAGTATTTTATTTTGAAGCAATCCAGGTTCAAACCCCTGAAATAGGTTCTGATGTGACGACAGAGCAATTTTTAAAGATTTGCTCATGTCTCTGATGAAGTCGAATTTCCCCCTGAGTTCCATTTTCCTGCAGATTATTTTTGAGACCTTCTAGAAAGGGAAGGTTTGGTCTGTTCTGCTAGGGAGTGCTTCTATTTTGCATACTGACATGCATTTTAACAAGGAAAAGGTCATGGACTGGGATGGTTCTGCTTGTTGGCGTGACAGCCGACATTTACCTGAGCCTTCTCGATACACCGAGGTTTAAAATAATTTAGTGAAATAATTGTCATGATTGATTTTTTTATTTTCTTTTTGGACCCAGAGTTCACCTTTGTTCCTCTTGGGCTGGGTAGCTTTGATGGGAATCCACTTCTGAAGTTCTGGGTGGATGGCAAACTTTGATTAAAATCACGAACTCTTTTATGATCTCTTGGCAAAAGCTGGTGAACTCAATTGCTGCTGACATATTCCTTGACCAACATCTGTTCTCCGAGTGACATTAGTGCAGCAGGAAATAAGCAGCTGTGATGTTTTCTGTATAATATTATTCCTTGTAAATTCCATATCTCAGGACTTGCAGAGGAGCCCACAGAGGATGGCGGACATTGAAGCACACTGCCATCGCAATAGTGGCCGTGTGACTTGGCTGGCCAATGGGAGGATCAGACTTTTGACAAAGGAGAGGAAAAACCAGTGTAGTGGTAACTTTAACAGTGGACTTGACACAACTCAGAGTCATTGGGAAGAGAATCTCAGTGAGGCATTGTGATGGGGGATGTACTTTTGTATATACGTTGTTGAATAAAACACTGATTGGCCAGTAGTCACGCAGGAAGATAGGCGGGCCTACCAGATGAGGTGAAGACTGGGGAGAGAAAATAGAGGGAGGCTGTCATGAGATTCCATGCTGCTGAAGAAGGAGTAGCAGGTCAGAACCCTTCTCCTGTAAGATAAAACCCTATGGAAATACTTAGGTTATCGAAATGGGTTGATAATTAAGAGAGAGCTAGCCAGTAAGAAGTCCTAACCATCGGCCAACAGTGTCATCATCAATATAGCATCCATGTGTTTATTTGGGGCGAATGGGCTGTGGAACCAGGTGGACCAGAGACCTCCGTCTTTAGGATTGTTTATACTAGATTGGTCCGTGGGCGTGTCTGCAGGACACTGTCTTCATTAAGTGATGCAGGAAGACCTAGCCCACTGTGTGCAGCACCATTCCCTAGGCAAGGCATCCTGAGTTGTAAGAGAGGAGCAACTGAGCCAAGCATGAGCATCACCGTGCATGCAATAATTTCTCCCTGCTTTTCACTCCCTAGGCAAGACATCCTGAGAGAGGAGCAACGGAGGCAAGCATGAGCATCACCGTGAGTGCAGCAATCTCTCCCGGCTCTTGACTGGATGTGATATGGTGAGTTGTTTACAGTTCCTTGCTTGTTTCCCTGCAGTGGTGGACCATAACCTGGCATCATAAGCTGAAATAAACCCCTCTCTCCCCTATTTTTTTGTCGATGAATTAATTTTGCCATAGAAACATTAATGAAACTAGAATAGTCAGGCCGTGTCTTGACTAGTTTCTTTCGCTGCTGATAAGAAAAGAGGGGTGTCACTGAAAGAAAGGAGTGGATTTGACACCTGAAGCTAGATGCCGCCTCAGAGAACACATCACAGTGAACAGGGCCATGGTCTCCTAAGGGTAGACCTGGCCTAATTCCAAGCCTGTGATAGGCTCTTTGCTATGGCAAAGGAACACCGTGGGTACGGATATCTTGAGAAGAGGAGGCTGTCTGGGTGGGACAACACAATCCTCAGGGTCATTAAAAGACAGAGGGAAGTGGCTCAAGGAGTCAAGGAGTGTGGGATGAAAGCAGAGGGGATGAGCTTTGAGAGCTGGGTGACAGGCTCGGAGTCAAGGAAAGCGGGTAGCCGTAGACACGGGAGGGTGAATGAGTAAACACATGAATAAATAAGTAAATAAACAAATAAAAAGACACTGATATTCCCCAGAGCTGCCAAGAAAAACACAACCTTTAAAGATTTATTAATTTTTATTTATGCCTCTTATGTATATGTGCTCGAGAGTAGGGGATGCTAAGAAGCCAGAAAGGGTCGTTGGGTTCCCTGGAACTGGAGTCACAGGAAGTTACAACCCTCCCCTCCTGGGTGCTGGGAACTGAAGTCAGGTCCTCTGTAAAGAACAGTAAGGGCTTTGAGCCCCTGAGCCAAGGCCCCAGCTCTAGAAGGTTGCTATTGACAACTCTCTCTCTCTCTCTCTCTCTCTCTCTCTCTCTCTCTCTCTCTCTCTCTCTCTCTCTCTCTCTGTGTGTGTGTGTGTGTGTGTGTTTGTTCCGTAAATGTGGAAGGGGTGCACATTTCATGGGTGAAGGTGAACGCACAGGTGAACTATGTAAGTGTGTATGTGCAAATTTGCGTGGGTGCTGGTAAGCACTTGGGTGAATATAGAAGAGTTGCAGACGTCCTTTTCCATCTTGTACCACTTTGTTCTTTATGGAAGTGTCTCTTGTTGAGCCGGGGCTTGCCGGGTAGGTTAGCCTGACTGGCAAGGGAGCTCCAGGGATCTGTCTGTCTCTGACTCTGGGATTGCAGGCATGGACTACCATATGCCTGGCTTTCTTCACAGGGGTTCTGGGCCTTGAACTCAGGTCCTTAGGTTTGTATGGCAATTTCTTTATAAATTGAGCTGTCTGCCCAGCCTTGGTTAACAACCTTTTCTCAGTCCCATAAGACTTATTTTGCATTGTGACCTCTGGGTCGGTGCAGTGATTAAGCTGCGTGGCTTTAAGTCACTGAGAAAGTGGGCATTGGTTACAGCAGCAGGAGGCAGCTGACGGCAAACTGATGCAGAGGGGCAGCACAGAGCCCGGATAGTGGAGCAGAAAGATGACAGCATTGCCTCCCTGGTGACAGCTTGGCCACTGTCACCTTGCCACTGAATTTGTTACCTCTGATCCGAGTCCATGCCAGAGAGAAATCAATTTAATTCTTATAGACCCGGTCTTATTTTTGGGTTTTGGTGTTACATGCGGTGGGTCTGAGTTTTCTTGAATTTGGTTATTTGTTGATTTACCGTACGTTATTTTGGGGCTAGACTGAGGGTAGCTGTGACTGACACCTCACAACACTCCGTTTCTCTAACTTTCACACACCAAGTCAGCATTTCCACTATGCTATGTCAGCCCAAGGCTGGGACCAGAAAGCTGGGACAGTTTCTACGCCCACAGTCCACGAGAGTCATTCAAACCAGTGGTTCCTCTGCTGGCACTCTCACCGTCTTTGCCTTTCGGGTGGACCCCCTAAGAGGCTGAGGTCTGTACCCTCCTCTTGCGGCTTTCAGCATCCAGATAACCTGGCACTCAGCTCCTTGCTGTCCTGCAGGGCTCACCTCTGGTTGCCAGAGACTGGAGAGTCCCGTTCGACTTCTCTCTTAGTGGTATTGACCTCACAATGTCATAACTCAGCGACCTTATAAGCCTGCCTCAAATCAGCCACTGCCCCAGATTCCAAGCAGCCAAGGATGATAAGCGATAATACAAAAGAAGGCCAAGTAAATTGGAGCATAGCTTCAGAGCTTGGGGGTCATTTGAAGAAGACAAACAGGGTGTGACCCTGGCCCCCACCCATAAGAGGGGGGGTCAGAGTTTTGTTTTCTTGTGTTTGTTTGGTGATATTCAGCTCAAATCTGAATGTTGAAGGGTAAAGAGTGGGATCTGCCCAAGTATTTAGGCATGAGACATGGGGGAGGGGGAGGCTGGGGAGCCAGAGGAATTAGAAGGCCAGGTGGTAGGACCATGAGGAAGCTTAGAGAGAGACAGAGAAGGTCAGACTGTGCCAGGTGAAGGTGGGGACTCTGGCTTCGCATCTAGGTGCAGTGGGAAGCCACCGGAGGTTTGTAAGCGGACGCTGTTGACTCTAATGTGCAAGCTAAAGAGATCACTTTGGATATCGCTATCTTAAGCAGGCCTGCCATATGGCATGGTCCAATTCTGTCATGCCAACTTTCAAGGGTCCCTCCTGGGGTCTTAAAAATTATATTGTATCTGACTACTAATGTGCATAAGAGTTAGGATCTGGGACACCAGAGCCATGCTGCTCGTCTGTCTCTGTGTGGTTTCTGCATCACATAGGTTCTTTCTGGGAAGTTGATAAATACATGTACTTGGGAATATTTTATGGATCAATGAGATAGTAATGAAGTTGGAGGTGCTTTAAGTTTATTTATAAAGCCAGGTCATCTAGAGGTCGGATACCATCACAGCAAATGCAACTGTAATGAATATCTTTGATAAATTTGTTTTTTAAGCCCTAACCCATGTCCTCCTGATTTCACATATTATGAGCTATAGACCCACAATTTCTTGGATGTAATTCTGGGGGGAAATCCAAAACACCCTGAAACCAAATGGTATATTTTCAGATTTTTATCATTAATTTGATGGCCAGGATTAAACTAAACACACATACATAAGTATGAATAGGCACATATGCACATATATATTTATTTATCTTTATTCATCCTGGTGAGTAGCAGTGATCACATTTGCATAAATATTATGTTTGATGACACAAATCTGCACCATTATCTTTGGAATGGTTACCTAATGTATATGAACTGAATTACCTAAGGTCCAAGGGAGACCTGAATTCAGCCATACATTTGAGTGGCAGGATTCTAAATGGGGGAGATCACAAATTGCTGCATCATGAAGACAAGTGGCAATGGTGGGCCTAGACCCAACCGATACATCCACATGCAACCCTATATCTGAAGGCTCCGAGAACACTATGGAAGAATGAGTCTAAGGACCACAGAACCAGGACGTCTGTGGGAAGATAGTGTCTTCTGATGTGACAGGGAAGCAGCATCCAGGACATCTCAACAGTGTGGTAACTAAACAAGGCTTGTGCAGTGACAACAGCAGCTGACATGCCAACATAGATGGGAGAAATCTCGCAAGGCCACATCCCTGGATGAAGAGCTACAGACAATGAGTGGGCGCTGAGGAAGGGAGTCTTCTCTAGGAAGGGGCACCCTGATAGGTTAGGTTATCCCAAGTGGTCACACACACACACACACACACACACACACACACACACACACACACACAGAGAGAGAGAGAGAGAGAGAGAGAGCTAAATGACTCAGCAGTTATATTCATATATGTACATAATGAGAAAACAATAGGTGAAGATGACATGAATGTGAGTGGGAGCAGGGAGAACACAGTAGGGGCAGGGAGAACACAGTAGGAGCAGGGGGAACACAGTAGGAGCAGGGGGAATACAGTAGGAGCAGGGGGAACACAGTAGGAGCAGGGGAAACACGGTAGGAGTTGGAGGGGGAGAAGGAGGGTGGAAATGGTGTGAATAGTACCTGTGTGTGAAATTCTCCAAAACCATTTTAAAAGTTAAAACATGGGTTGCTGTAATCATACATAATCATTTCTGTGGAGTATACAAGACACACACCTGAATTGTAATGGACAACATTAGAAAGAAGCAGACATTTACAGAACCTAGGGAAATTGCAAAAAAACCCAGCAGTATCACACACTTCCACTCACCCCACTAAATTTTTCCAGTGGAAGTAATTTGACCTTTATAAACTCTATGTGGTAAGAGACTGGGATGGGTTTGTCTCTACCCTCATGCCTATAACTGAGCCTGGCAAGCAGTGGGATTAAATCAGTCCAGGAGCCCATGGACCCGCCCGAGGGCTGGGTCGGTGGAGTGGATTCCAGCTCTTCCAGCGTCCCTAGTGGCTTTGTTTCTCTTTCTATATCACTGCTTGCTGAAATAGGCGGCGAGGTCCTCTCTAGATAATCAAAGGCTCTGGGAGAAGGAAGGATGAAGAGGGGTGTAAAGAGTTTTTGTTTCAGTTGGATAAAGCTTAGCGATCTGTGTAAACAGCCAAGAGCCTTGTTTCTCCATAAAAGACTCTAATCAGTTCTAATCCAAGAGCATCGTTGGCACTGAGAGATTGTAAAGGCAAAATATTCACTTTGAAAAATGAAACCTATTCAATTCAGGGCATTGTAATTTCCCATTGTGAGGCTGTGGTACCGGCGATTAAATTCTATTGTATGTCTGCAGCTCTCCTTAACGGCGATGTTTGCTATTATTAACTGATATTCTAAGAACATCCGCTCTCCATAGTGAAGTGCTGCTTGGCTCCTTATGCAAGATAATTTGCATATGTCTTGAGTTTGCCCTTCATGGTCTCTTTCTCTCATTCTCTGTACCGTACGTATCTGCAATCCCACCCATAGGCTCTGCCTCCGGATGCACTCCTGGCGCATACTCAGTTGTCTGGCCACCATAGTTCACATCTGACAAGCCTGGAAAGTTCTGCATGGGTCTGTCTGCTAGCTCTTTTCCATGTGACAGGAAAAA